TGTTTTGGAATAACATCGACATTGGCGAGTAGCAGAACGAGAATATGATTCAGTGGTAGAGTCATGGAAGTAATAAAAGAAACCCTTTGAAAGAGATGTTTGTCTACTCCAACTAAACCTCCCGCAAAAAATAGCAACATTTGCCTCTCGGAGACAGCGTACCAGCACAAAGGAACGAGGAAGAAGTGCAAGAAAACAATTCAAGCCGCCATAATTCAGTGACAGCGGCAGTGTCTAATGTACAAACCACATCATATCGCCCTGACTGAAGTCAAAAACAAGCGACATTTCTAAGCAGAGTCCCAGTCCACTGCATCACACCTTTTTGCTCGGACGCGCTCGTTTCACCGCCCAACCTTTATCCGCCCTGATTGTACCCCGCTCATCCCGCTCGAGATACATTACAGCACGTGATCAAAGCATGGCGGAAAGTGGTGTGACAGAAGGCGGGAAAAACACTGCTAGTTTTCTTTTTCGTGAATGAACTCAACAACGCAAAAAAAAAAGCAACGATTTTCCAAGTTATCCCAGAAGGGAAACAGCAGCTAGTGGAAGAAAAAGATGCAGATAATATAAAGGAAAGTACTTCGAATACTTTGTTAATCATTCGTTTAGTGGTTTAGAGAATTATATTTGTGTTCTAATAAGTTCCGAGTGGACTGTTTTGATTCGCTCCGGTTTTATTTTTTTTTTGTTGCTGTTGAAGTGAAAGTCTAGCGATATAATAAAACACTTAATGTTAGGTCCCTCGGGAAACTAGTTAGTTTTGTTTTCCCGAGATTCCTAATGTTTTCCGAGACGAAGTCGAGGGAAACATCAGGACTCGAGGGCTATCTGTTTCCCTCGGGATCTGATATTACAGCGGTTACCACCAACATGCGCCCTCAAAGGGTTTTTTATTGGGTTCAAACCTGTGGTGACGTCCACGAAAACTCAGGTTTCAACAGAGAGAAAAAACCCTTCGAGGGCGCGTGTCAGTGGCAACGGCGGTAAGTGTATAGTGTATAATAATTGCTGTTCAACAGCTAAAATTTTCAGAGTGTATGTTTGTCCTAGATGCCGAGCATTCAAATCCCAAACGTAATTTTTCATATACTGAGAAGAAGTTTTTTCCTTCGCAGAATACACATGCCAAGAGCTTGGTCTACAGAATATACCAGCATTCAATTATACCTCGTTATCTGCAATAAAATGCAAGCCACATAGGTATATTGATTATACATGTTATATGGCTAATATGTATTTCCATAATATGACATAAATTTCAATCAGTGGAGATAAGTCACTCTGACGTCATTTGTCCTCTGTGCTACTAAGGGTGCTTTCTATTGATCTAATTCCGGAATAAGAATACGCAAAAGTTTTGCTGCCAATCTCTTGCACCCGTGGTTTTTTTGGGCCACTTAAACGCTACAATAATCGGGATATCTAATTTTAAGCATGTTTCTGGTTATTGCAGAGCTATGGACGCCAAAATGAGTGATTTCAAGACTTTATTTCGTCTCCTGATTCCATTTAGTCTTATTCCGGAATACCGTCAGTCGAACACGTACTTCAGATAGATATATCATCATAGGTAGATCATCAGTTCCTCCCATCAGATATCTTTCATTTTTCTTACATAACTAACATTCTGATAACGGACGACATCGAAACGTCGTGCTACTTTTTTATCGTTGATTTTTCTTTTAACATTCTATTTATTTAATCATTGCACATAACATATCTTCTTGGAGATGCGGCCAACTGTCTCTCGTCGGACAGTCATGCCCCTTAATTGAACACTTTTAGTTGGACCTTGCCATTCTTCAACCATTTTGTTTGCTCTGTAATGCACAGACACTTCTCCTAAGATGGGCACAACATTTTCTGTCCTAATGGTGTTCCTCTTAGAGCGAGTTGACTACACCTTGTTAATAAGGCCTCGATTGAATTTTAAAACAATTCTTTCGAATTTTGCACAAGCTAACGAGGCCAGAAAGGCTAATTATCATACATATAAAAGAATTATTTTATAGGCCGCCATTATGAAAGAGGTCCAAAGTATTCATTTTCACTTTTACTTTTTACTAGTCCGAGTAGAGTCGGATGTGCACAAGCCTATAAATATTACGGACGTCCAGGACACATTGAACACCGTAAATGTGACGAAAATCGTCACCCTGACATTTGTTCGTTTAAGGAAACAAAGTCTGGAAATCACGGACTGTTATGTAACGCCGAGGTTTGTGGGTCGTCGAATATCACCATAGGCTCTGTGAATGCGGCAATGGGCAAAGTCACTGACTGGATTCCTACATCTAAGGAGATAATAACTGGAACTGTGCAAGAAGCCGTAAAAACAAACCAAAAAAACGGCTTTGGCTTTCTGTACATAAAGTGTGGGGATATTCTTCAGTCGCTCATCTTTCCACCGATCCTAAAGAAAGGCGAAAATGACAGCGACAGAAACAACATAAATGTTAACGTGGTTGTGTTGGACTCTGTGGCAAGACCGCATTTTTATCGAATTCTGCCGAGATCAGTGGCGGTACTCCGCAGGATTGCACAAGATCCCGATATCAAGGCGACTGCGTTGGATTTTGAATTGTTCCAGAGTGTTGGTCAACAGACTTTTGACAACATGAGGCCTTTTTTTTCTGGTGTTATCAAAGGTAAGCGTTGCGGAGTGTCCATATCATTCAGGCCCCGTTTATATGGAGAAAACCCGTCGCGGGTAAATGGGTCTCTCGCCCAGCCGACCTACCCTGGGTGAGCCAACGTTTCATACATTTCCATGCAGAAGGTTGAGAACGGTTTACATGAGAAACATTGAAAAAAATGTTGGCTCCGCTAGAAGGGTGACCCGAAGCTCACCTTCTTTTTCGATGGTAGGGTCACCCTGTTCTGTCGTGAATTGTAATACCTGTCGTAACTTGTAATACCAGTTGTCGAGAATTGTAATAACCAAGTTATCGTAAATTGTAATAACAGGTTGTCGTAATTTATAATAAGCCTAACTGTCGTGAATTGTAATAACACATTGTCGTATTTTGTAATAAGTCTTGAAAATGAACAGTTATTCACCAAAAATACTCTCAGACATAACGAAATGAGGCTCGACAGGAATCCCACAATGCAGCTCATCATGAGCTCATTGCTCACGGGCTATTTCCAAGTTCCAAAACCTTTCTTGTGATAATGAGTTTTGTTTGCATGACAATAGAAATCATTTTCATATCAATGACTATGCACTTAGCCGTTTCTTGAGACAGAGGCTTGGAGCAACTCGTGATTGGCCTAGAAAATTTGAGCCCCCTTAGAGCTTGAGGACAGACTCTACAACAGTTTGAAAATTTCACAATTTACAAAATGAGATTTGTATGGAAAACCACTCAATCGCAACAGGGTGGCAGAGATGTTTTTTCCCATAAAGTTCCTACACTATGCTAGTCGTTTTCTTCTTTTTGTTGACTTTTTGAGGTACGAGTAATACATATAAAGTTCACTAACTGGATGTATAAATACACGAATGATGCACAAGACGGACCGTGGACACTTTGCTTTACACAAAAAATCTAACAAGTCTTTGCACTTAATATCCGATTAATAGCTCCGATAGTTCAATCCGTGGGATTAACTCCAACCAAACTCTAAGCAAAGTCTACGTTACAGAAGGTTTTACCCAAGGAATTTGGTGAGCACTGAGCAACATATCACAGTGGCGCCTTATTCTTGGCTAAATTATCTAGTCTTGTTTAAATTTAGTTCTCGCGGGGACTGCGGAACACCAGAGCACAGGGACTTTTTCGTGTTGATAACTGATAAGTCATATGCTTTTTTCTAAAATGACGTCATCATTGAAATCATAAATGTGTGGGAGAAATACTTTATTGCGTACTCTTTCGTGCTAGTTAATTTCGTGTTTGTCGCGACTTTTGTCATCAAAATAAAACAAAAATGGCAAAAGTCAGACAAACATTTCAAATTAGTCACACTGACGTCAATTATGCGCTGTGCTATTTATGCTGTTCGAACTGTCCCTAGCCTCCCACCCCCTCAGGTAGTTGCTCAGTATGTCGGTTGGTTGACTGTTTCGAACAAGTTCACCAGGTGGTCGGTCAGGTGATTAAGTCGTTGCCATAATCTTGGCTAAGTAATGGCTGAAATGTTTTTAATTGACAAGAAAATTACACTAGATAAGCCCTTAAGAGGAAGTATTACAAAATACGATAAAGCATTATAACAATTCACGACAGCTAGCCTTATTACAAATTACGACAAGCTGTTATTATAATTTACGATAACCTGGTTATTACAGTTCTCGACAACTGTTATTACAATTTACGATAGGTATTACAAATTACGACAGGTATTACAATTCACGACATTATTACAAATCACGACAGAACACGCCTTCCATATAAACTTTGGCTCGCCCAGCCGGGTCAACTCGTTCAAGGCGCAGATCATGCGCGGTCGTTTTTTTAGACAATCAAATATTGAACGGTTGAACGACGTCTCCGGTCAAATTTTTCAGCCGGTCGAATTTCGTCCTGTGCCAAGTGAACGTAACCTAAATATCGTGACCTTATATTCCTCTAGATGACAATGAAATCAGTGACAGAGCAAAGACCGCAAAGGACCCTCTGGGGGTAGAAGTGTTGTTTGGGGCCTTCAGTAAATGGGGCTACCAGACCCTCTTCCAAGAAGACCTTTGTTGGTACGACTACTGGGGTATTGGATTGACAGACCTTCAAGTAAGAGGACGCCCTGATGGAGATTCTGAATTTAAAGACAGGTACCGTACCTTTGTAAATATATTACATAAGCTTAGAGAGTAAAGTACCAATGCTATGACAACAGACCTGTAGAGAGAATAGGGAACTTAAGCTGCGACGTTTTTGAGCGACGAACGTCAACCGGAAGTGAGCTTTTTTCTCTTTTAATATGCCATGACGCTACCAAATTTTTATTGCTCAGTGTCTTTACTCTTATCGAGACGATTTGCCCAAGAATTTGTTCCAAATCACGGCCGAAGGGTACAAAAAGTCCACTTTCGTCGCTCAAAAACGTCGTTGATTGACTCCCTGATGGCGCCATAGTATTTAGCTCACTTATAAAGAAAACGGTATCTTTTTTATATTCAAAGGTTGAAACACAGTCAAACCCCGTTAATACGGACACAGAGGGGGCCACAGAAAGTTTCTGTATTAACGGGTGTCCGTATTAAGTGGGATCTGATTGTAACTTAGTTGTTTGTTTGTTTGTTTGTTTTTTTTTTTCGATTGTTATCTCAGTGAGAAGTTGGATTCAGTTTGTACTGTTAACGATAGTTGTTTTGGTGCCTATGTTGTGGGTGCTACTGAAAAAAAGAATTGTATCTAGAGCATTATTAAAGCGCTCATAACGTAAAACATGTTATTTTCGTAATATCTAAAAGTAAACACTACTAAGAGAACTTCTGCCAAAAATGTGATTTGGAGAAACGTGATTTTTTTGGCGAATATTTGAAGTCTTTTGTTTTAAGTGCTACCACTCAGGCCACCCAAGGCATGACTATCTAACTAAATTTGCATATTTTGATTAAATGCTTTTTAGAACGGTTCGCCTCTATCAATGATCCTGAAAATTCGACTACTAATGTAGCTTAATGGCCTTAGCATTATGAGATATTTTAGAAGTTCAATTTTTTGTCACGTGACTTATAATTGAGAATTAACAGTCAAACTACCGAAAATTCCGAAAATAAGCCTCTCCATGTATAAGCCCATCCAAATATAAGCCACCCAAGCCGGTAACGCAAAAAACCCTCCGTTAAATCGCCCCTCCAAATATAAGCCCCCTCAAATACAAAGTAAAACAAAGCAAAAACGGTAAATTTATTTTCAAATATAAGGCTAGCCCAATCAATTTTGAAACGTAAATTTCCCTCCGTAGATAAGCCCCTCCGAATATAAGCCCCTCTAAAAGAGCCTTTGAAAAATATAAGCCCCGGGGGTTATTTTCGGAATTTTACGGTATTTACTCTAAAATGGGGAAAGGATAATGAAAGAGCAAAAAGTTCTTTTACGTATATTTCAGAGGCTATTATGTATGTGTGTTTACGTCATATAGGAATCGGTAAATAAAGGGAAAAGGGTCACGTGACTTGTCAATTAGTTAATAAATAGCTAATAGGATAAATAACATTTCCAATCATACAAGGCGAATTTACGATTTTCACTGTTTATGTAACATTTTGGTGGTGAAAATTCCTAAGAGTAAGGTTAACAACCCTTCCCCGTTTAGGAAAACTTGTTTTGTGACGTCATTGACGAAGCAATGTTACGTGTTATTTGAAATCACGTTTTACGTGTTTTTCTCATTGAGCCACATTTGTAGTTCACTTTTCAGGATCACCGATGGAAGCAAACCGGTTAAAGTAGTATTTTACAAAATATGTATATTTAATAAGGTAGTCATACCTGAAGTGGCCTGAGCATGACAAAAAAATTCTATTCGGTTACAGGTGGAGTGAATTCCAAAATCGAGTGAGTACAAAGCATATTGACGACTTTGGCCTGTCACATTTTTCCTGCACAGTATTTAAAAAATACAGCATGACAAACCATTACGAGACTCCACCCCAGGTTTGTCTAAACGGAGAGTTTTACAGTCAGTATTTCCTGGATTACATAACTAAAGTATACGCCGCCATGAACAAAGACAAAAAGGCCAAATCAATGCTGTCCTTCATGCACTTCAACACTGGACACGAGTATACCGGGGTACGAATGATCAACATGGATGCTAACTTGGCAAAGTTCTTGAATAATATAGTTCAGAGTCCGGACACTCTTACTGTGATATTTTCCGACCATGGCAACAGGAATACTCAGTATAGTTATACTGACGAAGGGAGAAGAGAGACTTTTGATCCGATTCTGTTTATGATAATTCCAGACCGAGTGGCTGAAAAGCTCGGCCATCAGCGAATGACGGCCCTGGTTGAAAACCAAAAGCGTCTATTTACGTTGCTGGACCTACATAGAGCACTTGTGTCTTTAAACCATCCTAAACTAATGAACTCCCAGAACTCCACTGCAGTAGGGATATTTTCTGTTTTACCAGCAAACCGCACATGTGCAGATTTGCAGTTGATGCCGCTGACCAGGTGCAAGTGTGAAGGGTTCGACGATTATAGTCGGGCTGAAGACAACTCAAAAAACCACAAATGGCTAGCAGAGTTTGCACTCGGAACCTTAAATGATGCCATACAGACACAACATTTAGGAGGTACATGTAATAGTGAGCTCATTTAGGAAGCAACTACCACGACGAGGTCAGGGCAACGTCACTAAAAAGTAAATTCCATTCTTCAAACTCGTCATCATTCTGTCCGTGACATTTTCCATTTTCCTACAGATTAATTGTTAAGGGAGGGCATTAAAGTTTTAAAAGACGAAGGAAAATTCTTTGTGGTGTAATTACGTCCGTTATTAAACGTCTAACTAGCAAATTTCATTCGTAGTTGGGCGGAGGAAACCAAAAAAAAAACAAAAGTGTGATGGACTGGCAAATCTTGTTTGCCGGAAAAAAAATTTGACGTTACAGCCTCTTATTGATTTAGAAAGCGCCCAAGGTTATTCACTTAACTCATGGAAATCGCCAAATTGTTTTGAAGCTCAAAGAAAACAATCTTTACGGTGGGGCGAGCAAATTGTAAGACATTTTCTACTTGCAGTGGTCATAAAAGACACCGTGATCCGGTCTAAAACAGTAATAACGTGCGAACGTGCCTACCGCCGAATATTAGGGAGTTTATATTAGCAAAGGCGTTTTTGAATTTTGATTGAAGTACGTCAACCGGAATTGAGGCGTTTTCCCCTTTAATATATCTTAAAGCTACCAAATTCATAATACTTAACATGTTCGCTGTTATAGAGACTACTTCCGGTTAAAGGACACTTCCGGTTGACGTGTGTCGCTCAAAACATCTTTCCTAAAACTCGGTATTAACTATTCAACGAGTTGTTTCGTACGTTTTTTACAGGTGCTGGTGAAGTTGTAACTTCATCCCAAAGGTATGGCTATGGAAACTGTCAGCGCTTGGTGGGGAAATCATTTACTAATATTTTGCAACGTTTCCAAGGAGACTACATCTTGACGACAATGGATCTCCACGTGGTCCCTCCAGCTGGTTTTACAGAAGACGAAGTCTTTAAAGTTTCTTTGAAAAACTATGCAAAGCCGGAAGACGAAGTTTGGTTGACAAGTTATACTCGGCAGTCCAAATATAGCAAGTTTGAGGCATGCGCAGACAAGTCAGTTGACGTTAGACTTTGCGCATGCGCTATTGATCAAACTAATCTTGCTGAATCAGTCAGCAATGGTGTTTCAAGTAAAATTTTTGGTTCGGACACCGTTGTAAAAGACCTCCACTCAGGATGTCTTTTGTTTCTGAGACGGGATCACGGATTAACCTCTTTAGCGTTGGAAGTAGCAAACGTATGCTACAATAGCACTTACAAATTTAAACTGGACGGTGGAGGATCAGAGAGACTGTTTTCTAAAACCCTTCCCATAAATGTTGAATTGCTACCCAGGACATTTTATTTTCTAACATCCATTACGAAGTATGCGTCGAAATTCACCTATCAATTACATTTTACAGCAAGTGTAGAAGTTAAAAATGACAATTCTGAAGATTTTATAAACTTGGGAGAACATGATGTGTCGGAGTAACAAACAAGAACAATGAATTAGACTATTTTTCCATAAGTTTACTCATCGTACGGCATAAAAGCAGCCTTTTAGAGTGATTTTACCCCGTGAAACCGGAAGTAGAATACTACGCACTATTATGCGCCAATTCTATTGTATTCTTTTGTTTACCTCTTGTTATTTTTCACTATTTTTTAGTATCTGTTTCACGGTTCAAGTAAAATTACTTTATTTTGTTTCTCAACTATTCAAAATTGAAATATTTATAAAATAGGAATCTAGCATTTATTTTTTAGAACCTGATAGCTGCTGCTTCAAGCTGTCAGTTTTAAGAAGGTTTCATTGAACTCTTTGTGAATGTACATGTGGCGTGGGATTTGGTTTTTAACGGAAGAAAAGATAATGGTCACGAAAGTGGCGAAGATTCGTTGAAAGGGACGACAGAACCTACAACCGTAACGTCAATAGTTTCTCAATTTCCTTCCCACAACTCCTCAAGTGACGCTCTTCAAATTGAAAGTCAGATTACAGATAAACGACGAGTACAAGCCTGGAAGTAAGAAATTAAAAGACATTTTTATCAACTGAGTTGATAGAATTCACGTTTCAGAGAGTTTCAGAGCGAATAAAGAAGGGTTTAATTTGCGCACAAAGCGTTTGAAGCTGAGCTTCCTTAAGTTTTTTCTCAAGTTCAGTTTTACCTCATTATTGCTTGTGGTTCCGCTCCAGCACCAACACAACCCTATTGTTAGTAGACAAACTAACTCCTGTAGTTAATGTTTGCATGTTTTGTCGTGACAACAATGGACGGTTTTCTGCAGGTATGTACCACATGTTACTGAACAAAGCAAACTCGCCGGTCCTCAGGAATAATTTCAGGCACAGGAACCAAGTTCCTTCTTATCTCACTTGTTTACTTGAAACAGTTTTTTTTAAATTTCTTTTTCAACGTCGTTTTTCAACGTGCATAGGCGTCTTAAAGGTATCTTAGCTTTGTTTTGTTATATTTTGACTTTTGGTACTATTTTAGTTCATGGGAGTTTCGACGACTCATCTAGACTACGAGTAGTCCCCCATTTATCCTCAGGGATAGTAGAGCGTGCGAAACGCGAGCGCGCGTGAAAATCACCCCACGCGAGAAAAGGCGACACGCGGCGGGGAGAGAGAAAAATGAGGGACCCTCATATTAACCCGCATATGAAAGGGATGGGGATGCTCGTCGGAAATTTTGAATTAAACCCCTAAAGGAGACCGATCTACGCGTGGCGCAAGCTTTTTTTGACCCCTAAAAGAGACCACACAAACAATATATATATGATGGCGTTTTGCCCAGAACACCGCAAGTGAGACCAAAATGTGCAATCTACACCCCTAAGCGAGACGACGAGCATCCCCACCCCTTTCATACGCGGGGTCCCCCCTCCGGGAGTTCGATCAGTTATGTTCGATTACCGAACCAATCGAACAATAGTCCGACCGACTGGGTTCGATTGAGTTCAATTGATTTATCGTTCGGTTTCGTTCGATTGACTACGCCGGGTTAAACTCGTATCACTGTTGATGCCAACAACAAAATTTTGGCATCATCTGGTTGACGTATTTTTTTCCCATCCTCGCTCGATTTTTTCTGTATTACATGTACAGTACATGCTCACTTTTAGAACCTGAGGTCATCCTGGCTAGAGGAAGTGGAACTCGGATATGTTTGGAAGAATTATTTTTTCTAATTTTGTTCTTAATCATGTCGTTGACAGATCACAACTTCCTTAGTTTACGAATGAGCTCCAAACAGGGAAGAACTTGTTCTCGAGTACACGACATTTCTGCTCGTCGCGTGCCTCTGGGCATAAAAACAGTGTGGAACCTCGATACAACAAAGCCCTCTATAACGAATAACACCTAGATCTGACCATTGTTTTTTTTTGTCCAGTTACAATAAAATACATTGCAATGCCGTTATCTAAAAACTTCTCACGAAAAAGGTGGTTAGAATCATAATTGGAAGATTTGAACAATCGGTTTGGATGGAGGGGGATTCAAGTACTTGACAGGGGTAGGGAGAATCACTTTTGGTTCTAATAATCAGGTGTTGAAAATTGTGCTGTTTGTTTTGTAGACGTTTTATTATATAACTTGTGCGCGTGATTTCAAGCTCATTTTTAATACCACATTAAATTATCTGAATTATACTGTTGACACAGGGAACCCAAACGCTGTGTTAGCTAAGGAAAAAGGATCTCCCGTCTGTCATGGCCAACAAGCAGGAATGGAACAGACTCATAAAATCGGAGCTAGTCCCGGGAAGGGGTGGGTACTCGCCATGATTGTCAATACATTGAGGCTGGACCGGATGGATTGACAAAACATGGATTCCGTAAAGCATGGACTAATAAGAAATGAATTAGTAAAGCATGGATTGGTAAAACATGGATCAGTAAGACAAGTATTAGCAAAATATGGACTGGTAAAACATGGATGGATGAATCTTGGATTAGTAATACATGGGTAGGTGAAACGTGGAATGGTAAAACATGAATAAGTAAAACATGGATTAGTAAAATATGGATCAGTAAAACAAAGATTTAGTAGAACTTGGATTAGTAATACATGGATAAGTGAAACATGGATTAGAAAACATGGATAGGTAAAACATGAATCAGTAAAAAAAAAAAAGAAAGTAAAACATGGATAGTAAAACATTTTTTGATAAAACATGGGCTGGTAAAACAAGGATTAGCAAAACATGGATGGATAACACATGGATTAGTAAAACATGGATAGGTAAAAAATGTATTGGTAAAACATGGGCAGGTAAAACAGAGATTAGTAAAACATGGATAGGTGAAACATGGATCAGTAAAACATGGATAGGTAAATCATGGATTAGTAAAACATGGATCAGTAAAACATGGACAGGTAAAACAGGGATCAGTAAAACATGGATTGGTAAAGCATGGATTAACAAAACATTATGCGCGCTATGGCTTCTACAATTTATTCTTCGCTAAATACGTAGTTTTCCCTCTTAATACGGAATGTAAAACTCTTTTTATGTTGCCTTAAAAGACGTTTAAAGCTCTCTCTCGCTATTAAGATAAAGACTTCTGTAACATGTTCGAGCGGAAATTGGTGCGTTCTGCTTTTAGCTTTAAGCGTGCGGAATTAGTGTTTTTTTCTGCGGCGGACAAGTCAACTCGAAATCCCGTCGCGATTTTTCCTCGCGGCTTCGCCGCTTGCGAAATCTCCTTGAGGCAGGGGCCCGCTCTAAAAAATCCCGCCAGTGTACGCAGGCCATAATATTACGCGCAAAACAGTAAGCAGAATTTATCTTGAGAAGAAGGGAGGTTTGCAGGACGCTTAGGCCCGTACGCCACTGACGACAGAAAGTTCCACCCTCATCACCAGGGCTTTTCCATGGATTTTTCAATTCCAGCCCTCCACATTTTCTTAAGGAGTAGACCCGGGGACGAGGTTAAAACATGAGTGCTTACCGTTCCTTCCACGCAAGCGCAAGCAAGGCTAACAGGAAGAAGTAGCAATTTGGCAGCTCCGACTTTCGTTGGGAGCGAACGCGTGACGATCACAAAACCATTGAACGTGCGTGTGCATGCACAGCGTTGATGAAAATGAAAGTGTGAAGTGTTTTACTTTGGCTATCTCTGCCTTGTGAAAGCGCCACAGTAAAAGATGCGGCGACACCGCAAGTATTGGGTAAGTAGCCAGCCTATTTATTATTTTATATCATACCTGTAAACGCCCTTGCTTGGCAATAGCCAAAGGGTTGTTGTACACAATGTTGCACAGCCGACGCGAGGACGGAAAAGAACTCTTATTTTACTCTCCACAGGGAAAAATCGACGCTGTGTTCGCTGTTGCCAACTCTCTTGCGTTTGCTGTTGCCAACTCTTAGCTTAAGCGGTTTCAGTTTTTTTCGTCTTCCAGCTGTTGAATAAAATTAAGCTTATGATATTTTCCGCGTATAGTATTTCATCATGATAGCGAAACATCTGCCTATCCCTACAATCCCGCTCGGTTTTGAGTCGTGTTGATGTCTTGCAAAGTAAACTTTCACGTAGTAAGATCAGCATTGCAGTATTCTGCTTGCAGAATTTAATATGCCTACTTGTTATTTTCGCTGGTCAGATCTTTATGGATCCTAAGTTCTTCGGCACATTCGTTTGCAGTCCTTTGTGATAAATGTTTGTACTTTATTTCATCATAGCCGTTTTCTTTTTCATTTACTCATAAGCCTGTATGGCTGGGATGTATTCCCTATCCTATTATTTTGCGCTGTGAAAAATTCGTGCGAGACATATACGTGGGATCACATTTTTAGGTTGGATGGTAAAACATCTTTGTTACTTTTTTGACGATCAATTACCACGGAAGCGACTTTGCCAGCGAAGCATGATAGACAGGAACTCATTGAGGAAAAGAATATAATGATTTAGCGCGTGTGAAACCGTTCTAACTTAACACGAAACGGTGAGTTACTGTAGATGAAGCTTTCAAATGCATACAATTCACATTTTGTTTGTAACTAAAGCGGGCAAGCCAAAAGACCCAAAATTGTCAGGACTACAAGCCGGAGACTCTAGTGAAACCCCAACCTTAGACTTTGACGTCAAAACCGGATCGGACGTCGAACTTGATATGTGCTGAACCAAATTAATATACAGATTTAGCCAGGGCTAAAAAAAAGCGAAGCTCCTATTAACTCGAATTTATAATTTAAATCAAACAATAAACTTGTACATGTATTCCACAAATCGGTTAACTTTAGAGCAAATTCATGTGACTTTTGAGGGAAAGGCTAACTGATTTTAGAGAAAAATAATTTGCAAACAGTCCAAGCTAAGAGTGAACTTAATCTTAGATCGAGTTGATAGCCTTATATGTACACCCAAAAAACAGCATAGCCATAAGGGCTCTTGATCACAGTAGATTAGTAGGTCTGGANTAACTTTAGAGCAAATTCATGTGACTTTTGAGGGAAAGGCTAACTGATTTTAGAGAAAAAT